GGGGAGCAGCGCCGTCACTCTTAGCAAGTTAGCCCCAAGGTCTTTTAATCCGCTGAAGCCACATGAGTGGGGAAATGAGGAATACCAGATCACAAGCAAAGACAATTCCTACTGCTTAGATCGTTTCTCAAGGACTCCCACTAGGGTAGTAAATGTCTTTGAAAGAGCTTATTTTTCTTTTTATTCTCTTTAATATCGAAATTAGACGTCTCTCCCATCAGCACAGTGCCTAGCCTAGCCCTGAAGCATTCATGAAAACCGTGGAGAGTCTGTTTACATTTGGATTTAAGAGAAATGAATCTTAACTCAGGACTGTCTTCACTTTGCAGGAAATCTGATTCTGTGGTTCAGCCCAATAAACCTTTCCAGACCTAAACTACCTTACACAGTTCAGTTATGGGACAAAAAAAAAAAAAAAAAAAAAAAAGTAAAAGCTTTTAAGACCATACCCTGCCATCCCAAGAAAGCAGATGTGTTTCCTTATCTTGGGAAGACAATTACCACTTTCTTCCACCACCACCGAATGTTCCTGGCTTGATGCAGCCCTTTCCTTTTCTCAGGGCTAGAAAAGCTGTATCAACCATTCGAACTTCTACTTTTCCTAAGAGAGATGTACATTACAACCAGCTTTGGGGACAGGCTTTGCTGAGGATCTATTTCACTTTGTAGCCAAATTCATCCCAGTTTTGAGACATATTTTCATGGACTGGGGCAGGTCACTGCGCCCCAGTTGGATTGCCTTTGTCATTTCCAGGAGGAACAGAACTCTGGCACTCTCCTTGTAAAGAACAAAACGCTGTGGTGCCTGGAGGACAAGAGTATGACCAGCAGCTAAACACACTCCAACCTTTTTTTTTCCCCCTTTCACCCTACTTTTTACCTTACATCAGATATATCTGAGGTTAGATGTCTGATAGAAAGGAACTTAGAGCTTTTATGGCAATGGGAATTCAAAACCCGAGTGGACACGCTCCTGGGCTGACCCTGCTTGAGCAGGGGGGTTGGACTAGACGATTTGCAGAGGTGCCTTCAATGAGAGTTGATTCTGTGCTTCTGTAAAGTGACTGGCCAAAATTTTATCCCAGTCCACCATTTCATCTTAGTTCCCATAGCATGACATGCGCCATCAACATACAAGGTAGAAATTGCAAAGAGAGGGAAGAGACAAACTTTGAAAGCTGATGACTGGGTGAGGACTGCAGAGTAAAGAGCCAAGCCAGTACGAAGAACTTAAGAATGGTGAAATTATGAGAGAGATGATGATGATGACGACGACAGCCACACTGAACGTAGAATCTTATTTCCCCACATGTCCCTCCCTGAGCCCAACGTTACAAAAATCCAACTCTCCGTTCCAAGGCTCTGCCCTCTGAACGACGATACGGTATCGGTAGAACCACCACTTCTAAGCAGAAGCAGGAGGAGGAGCAGCACAGTGTGTATTTTCAGCCACAGCAAAAGAGATGACTAGATGTGATTATTTTATGATTGGGTTGTGTCACGCTTCCCTGCTCTTCTCCCTTCATCTCTGCATTTTACCTTGATGCAAAATTGCGCTATACTCTCATAAAAAAGATTGTACATGAGATAAAATCTGACTTGAACAACATGTAATGCACACAGCCTAGTTCAAATGCTACGTGTATGATGGGGGTACCAGGTTCTGTAGCTAGTGAAAATTAATTTCATTTTCCACTGCGTGAACTTCTCTTGGACAGAAACATTAATTCATTTTTTTGAGGCCAAGCATGAATTCATTTTTTAAGGCAATGAGTGAAAAGTGGGATACCAACCTAAAATTCAGCTCCTCATCTGAATATTACTGTGCTGAAAGTAGATTACAAAGGCACTGCTCCCTGCTCTGGAAAATGAAAAATATCCTGACCTTGGTAAAAATGGATCCCGACCTCGGTGAAAATGGAGGTGGATGGGTTAAGACTTTTTTAGGCTGCTATGAGGAGGTATTTCCTAGAGAAGTAATACTGACTGGAAAGATTACATCACTGCAATTACTCTGAACAGTCCTAGCATCAGAAACAATAAAAATAATTGTATATGGTAACACCTCAGTACGTTTGCCATTATTCATATTGTAAGAAGGATGCTCTAATATAGCAACCTTGATATTTTTAACTTAAATTAAGAGACTTGTCCAGGCTGATATGAAACGCAACTCCCCGAGCTGCCCGTTTAAGTCGACATCCACAAAACCAGTGCATTTCCCCTGTCATGGGGAAAGTGCAACTGAACTCCTTAATCATATTAGATACATTGGTTATACTGTAAATAAACCCCACCTCTCAATGCAGTAGTTGGGTTTTTCCCTACTAAAGGAGACTCAAGGAAACGAGATGCACTCTGCTCAGCCTTTGACGGCACATCTCGGAGCTCACCTGAGCCCACACAGCCATGGTACGAGAGGGGCAACGGCTGCTTCAGTTTAAAACCATCCCCCCCTTGTCCTGTCCCAGCTGGCCCTGCTAAAAAGCTTGTCCCCCCCTTTCCTCTGGGCCTCCTTTAAGCCCTGACGCCCCAGAGCAGAGGGGCTCCAGCCCTCGGATCAGGTAGGGTAACACCTTTTTGCCCTGCATTTACTCCTCAAAGAGAGGGAATACTGGGATATTGAATTCCTTCCTGTGTGGCAAAAAAGTTTTTCTTTCACAAAAGAAAGCGACAGATGCCCTCCAGATCTGACAAATAACCATAATATACGTAGGCAGGTCAACCCCAGAAACATCCAGGTAGCCAGAAATCAAGATCGAAGCATCAAGGTATCTTGTTGCTTCCTCCATTCTGGGCATATGTAGCCCTTTAGGTAGTCAAAGAAACACGATGTCTATTTTAAATGTGAGCACCAGCTGCCAAGGCCCTCTTTGGTTTAACAGCAGCCGGGAGAATCTGCAGCAAATTATTAACCCCGCGGTGTCTCCTGCATGAAGCAGTCACACGGGAGGGAGGCGGGGAGGCGTGCCTGTAGCAGCTGCATACTCAAAACTCCCCCATTAGCAATTTTCCAGAATGAGTTATTGTGGCATCGTCCTCTGATGGGAAAGATGATGTAACGGTTGAACGGACTAACGAATTTTTAACCTCAGATTTGCTGGTGTTGGAAAAAATCCTGCCTATGCAAGCAGCAAATTCCAGCTACCACAACCCTGTGTGAGTTTTGCGCATAAAGCCTGTGTCCAGCGCGGAATCAGCTACAGCTCTCAGTTTAGGATAGTCTAGTCTAATCCCAGACACCGAGCTTCAAATATCTCAAGTTAAGTAACATCAAGGCTTAGAAAAAATACACTCTTACCTTGCAAGCGAGTGATGCTCTCAACAAAGTTTTACATTTTCCTCAAATGTAATAATAAATTTTACCAGCATGACCTAAGGATAAAATTATTTTTCCCCACAGCTTCGGAAATCTGTTTCAATTATAAGTCTGGGTAGTTTAATTAGGGAAGCACGTTTAGTTTAAGAAAAAAAATTGGATGGGTTAGAAGAAAACCCCTTCTAATGCTCCGTAGGGTCTACGGGTCCTTCAACCCAATTTGATTTGAATGAAACCATTATTGTTCTTTTCACTCCTGCTGAGCCATTATGTTAACGGTTTTCTAGAGATCTGAGCAGCATTTTACTACATGGTTTCATTATTCCACTAGCCAGGATTTTAGCCCTTAGACATCAGAAGTTGCAAGGTTTAAACTAGTTTTTGTTCAACATTCTGAGAAAGCAATATCCTTTTAACTGTATAGACTTGCATGGACATTTTCGGTTGGCATATGGTGGGTGTTTGAAATAAACGGAGAGGAAGCCGTGTGCCCCGTCTTTTTCTCTCTTTTTAAGCATCAGTCAGTTTAACGTATTAAAACCCGCAGCAGTGAAGACTCAATCAAGCAAATGAAAACTGAACACACCCACCGACAGATATTTCCTGCCATAAAAACACTCACGCATTGGATGGAAGAGTCACACCCTAATAAAATCTAACAGAGAAAACAATAAGAAGGGTTAAAAGGTAATAAAAGGATTATTATCAAGCTGTATAGACCAAGCCAAACCTTTAAGCCATATTTTATTGCATTAAAATGTGAGCTTTGATCATCCGGCTGCTGTTTTAACTGCTCTAGAAGTAAAAGACTAACTTTTTTAAATTCCCCTGCGTGTGCAGGTATGTAACAGATGCTTGTTGTACGACCTTCTTGACATAAAGTGGCTCTCAAAGAAGTTGCAGAAAGTATCTATGCAATACCATTCCAGAAACGATTTGCTGCTTTGGTTCAAAAGGGAAAGTAGGCTTCAAGTAATTAACACTTACGATACTTGCCTTGCAACTGCACCAGCATAATACCGAGGCGAACAGCGGGCCGTTTGGTATCTAGGGCTCTTAGGGGCTTCTGCTCCTGTGATAACGCCGTTAAAGCCAATTGAGCAGGTAAGCGTAACAGCCTCGAAATAACAAAACTGATGAGCTGTGAGCTCTGTTTTTCTTCAGAAGCCACTTCAAGTCAGATTTTCTACAGACGTTTCTGACACACGCATAGACTGCTCTAAAATGAGCACAGAACCTCTAGGCTAATCAAGGCAACAAAACTGCTACAGATGAACAACAAGAACTAGAAAAAGCGGTAATCAGGCTGATGACAACTCAGTTTCAACGCCAAAATTCCTTCAGAGCAAAACTTCTAAGACATTTCTAATGACCAAAAATAAACTCATTAAGTTCTGTTCTTGAAGTTGGTTTAAAATAGCATCTTTATATCCTGTATAGGTCCCGTACAGCCCAGAAACTCCATAAAAAACCACCGAGCAGCTGAGGCAAGCCCCCAGTTTTCTAATAATACCTAGTCTTCCAGAAGGCCTAAGGCATTATCTGAATAATTTTGAGTACGGCAAGAACCTTCCCGTGTAGGAATAGCAATACTTTCCGTTAGGGATGACAAGTAAGTCTTAACATATCCCCTCATTATCCATTTTCTGCACTCCTGAATATGTCATATCGGTTTCCTCACCTGATAGGGACACGGGATGTGATATTCTCTGCAGCGTTCTTGAATCCACGTCGTCTCCCACACACCTCGATAAGCCTGCTCATAGAAATAGCAGCCAATTACAACCAACAGCGGCACGAGGTACAGAACACTGAACACGCCAATCCGGATCATGAACTTCACCAGTTTGTCCTGGTTCTCTTTTTCTAACGGGATTTCAATGCGAACCCGATTGAGAGAGATAATGCCAGCTAGCAGAAGGGAAACTCCAACAACAACATACAGGCAGAGAGGTGCAAGTACAAAGTATCTTAATGCATCCACATCATAGAGGCCAACAAAACATACGCCGCTAATATTGTCACCTTCAATTTTATTCATTGCTAAGAGGATGATGGTTAGAGTTCCTGGAATGCCCCAGGCACTGGCGTGGAAGAGCAAGGCTTTCTTCTCGATGGCTTCACTGCCCCATTTTGGCACAGCTGCCAAGAACCACGTGATGGTAAGAATGACCCACCAAACACTGCCGGCCATGGTAAAGAAATAGAGCACCATGAAAAGCATGGTGCAAGCTTTGTTGTGAGAGCCCTGTGTCACTGTGGAAGCCTTGTACTGGGCAGGGCTAGATGCGTTACACGCTACTCGGTCTTCAAGCAGAAAGCCAATGAAGAAAATCAACGACACCATCATGTAACAGACAGCATAAAATATTATCGGTCTTTCTGGGTAGCGAAATCTTGTGACATCGATCAGAAAAGTTAAAAAAGTAAACAAGGTAGCAGAAAGGCAGACGATGGAGATCACGCCGATGAAGTAGCGAGCAAAGGAGAGCTCTTCACGCCGAAAGTACATATTTGGGCAAGGAGGGGAACAGTCCCTTACGCTCAGGAAAGAGTAACCCAGGTCGGGGTCTATTTTCAACTCCCGAGGACACCAAAAACCGTAATCCCTCTGTACTGCCACGGGGGCCTCTTCTGTGGGCTCCCCAGCTAAATTGAGGTCAACAAGACGAGGATATGGCTCATCACAATCTGGGAATCTAAAAAGTAAGAAAAGAATTGTTTACAAGAAATATACACGTACTTTGCAAAGACTAGTAACCCTATTTATACGTCTGGCTGTAGCCACACTAACTGGAGCGAAAACAAAGACAAAGCAAATAAGGGGTAATCCATGAAATACTACACTATGTTTAAACAAACTCTAGAACTCATTGTCCCAGAAGGCAGTGGATGTGGAAACTATAAAATATGTTTAAAAATAAACCAGGGAAATAAATGGACAAGGGGCCCATTGGGGCTTTAAGCATAAAGGTGAGGATACAAACTCTGTCTTGAGAAGTCTGTAAAGTTAGGCTTACTGAAAACTGGGACTATGTGCCGGAGGAAGCACGATCTTATAGAACATTTGAAAACCTTTCCCTAAGCAACTGTACCAGCTGCTATCAGAGAGGATGGTGAGCCAGTTAGACCAAAAATCCAACCTAGCACCGCTACTAGAATTAATAAACTGAAATTATGATGAAGATACTTCTGTAATTAAGTAAAGCTCTGACTGGAGGCTAAGGGCTGCTGGAGATGCAGTCTGAAGCGTTGAAGGAGAGACTTGAGGGATTCCACGCATAGCTGTCCCGTTCTTCCCTCTGCTAGGTGTTATCGCCTCAGCAAGTGCAGCATAAGGTCAGTATGCCTGCTCCTCTGCCACGGTTCATGTTCTGGCACGATGGCACTAACACAGCACCAGCAAAGTTTTAGTCGTTTCAGCTCTGGTTTTGAAATTTCACTGCCTGGGCCTTACTGAGAAGATGGGAGGACCTAAGGGGCCCCGGCATCTGTTCGGAGTATGAAGTTAGAGCGATCTATGGTCCTGATTATCAGGACCTAGAAGCATCCTCTGACTTATTCTTTTACTAAAAGAATTTTTAATTGTTTTTCATTCTCCCCAGTCCAGCTGTAGGAGAGGCTATTTCTTCCTGTTTGCGCTCCTGTATTTTATTAGCTGTTGGAGTCACGCATAAAAAAATAAAGCATAAAGACACTGTTTTCAACTTTATTCTATAGTTTGTTTCAAATAGATTGGAACATCATTGAATACGGTTCTACGAAGTTATTTGTGTAATGTAAAGCTGAAAACATCTGTTTGCACACAAGCTCAACAAGAGGTAGATGCTCTGAAAACAGAGCTCTTGATATTTTATACTCATCAAAACCAGTCAGCTCTCCCTTCAGAAAAAGAGACTACTAATCTCCAGCGTATGTAATTCTGCCTGACTCTCAGAGAAATTTGTAGCAGTACCACCTATTAAACTTTGGTATAGCAGACAAAACCAGGTCAGCGTTAATGACAAAGAAGAAAAACAGACGGGTATATTAATTCATTTAAGAATATGCATGTGAAGTTTACAGTAATTGCCCCCAGAAATTTTCAACTTATCCCTTCGGCAGATGATAGAAATACGAACTCAGTTTTCACCCCAGGAAACAGGCTATTACACAAATGGAAGGGAAAATAAGGGCACTTGTTACGGAACACATTTAAAACGTCGGTTTCAGATCATAAAACATCCTAGATCATACTGAAAGTTTATCCCGGGATTCTGAAAAAAACCAGCTTTGCTTACCTGGTGCACTCCATATCCTCAGGCCAAGAGACTCCAAACATCTCCATGAGTTTGGAGCACTCGCTGTATGCTCTTTGACAGAGTCTGCGACAAGGGAGAGTGACGCGGCCGTACTCCATGCACACAGGAGCGTAGAGGGCACACAGGAAGGGTCGAAAATCTCTGGAGCATTCCAGATTCACCATCGGATGAAACGGCTAGAACAGAGAAAGGGGAATTCAATAGCTACAAACAGCAGTTTTGTAGAACATGTCAGCAGTAGGCTGTAATTTGTCTCGTGAGATATTAGGGCTTTCACAACCATAACCACCACCTTCTTTTTCTGAACTTTGGAAGAAGCGATCATCATAATGCAGCACTTATGTATTTTAGGAAGCCAGGCAATCAAGAAGCCTGGGGACAATGACAAAGATTCACAAGGGACATTTATGTACTCGATATAGGGATATTATGTATTTGATAGGGGATATTGAGGTACTTTGCATTAAAATCAATGGGAATTAGACAGCTAAACACCTTTGAGGATTCAGGCTTAGCTTCACACTCTCCGATAACAGTCATATAAACTGGATTCCTTTTAGTGCTTCTGTCACTGACGGACACATCGCGAATTGCTAGCTGCTTATTTAGTAGGAGAACATGAAAAACTTGCATTTGGTTGATGAGATTACAATCTGAAGAATGTTAGATAACACAGGATTCCTTGACAGTATAGAAATATAGCACACTGCGATCTCTCAAGTATTATTCCCAGATCACAACATAGTATTTGTAAATCATCTCTCTATTTCTTGAATTTCTTGAGCAGGGCACTGTTCTTCCTATCTTTCTACAAAACGCAAACACAGGACATCTTCCATTGCGCTCTTCCCACAGCATCTTGTCCATCTGAAGAGGAACCGTCTGTTAAAATCTCAGTTCTATCATCAGAGTACATCTGCGGACAGAAAACAGTCCCAACGTGCATACTGTCATCGCTGTTACATACATTCTCATACAGACACAGAACTTTCTAGCTTCCAGAACAGGGTGGTAATCACAGCGAAGTCACGTTAAGTATGTCACTTCTTGACTAACCATCAGAAAGCACTGTGAAATCAAAGCCTGAAAAAAACTAGTCAGGAAAAATAACTGGTGTCTTGGGCTACTGTGTTGCCTTATAACAGGTTTAAGTAGCGGTGATAGCAACACTCCCTGAAAGCACTGAGAGAAAATCTATCCCAATTACAGCTGTTCTCAAGTATTTCTGAAGATGAAAAAGAAGGAAAAAAAGTAGGACAGGGATTTATGCCTTAATAAAAACTGATGCGCATTGATAATCCATGTTATCTTCTTACTTTCCAGCATGGGTTCATTTTGCTCTTGGCTTATTATGGCCTGGCTTTACAACACTCCAGGAGTCAATCAATATCTTATTCTGAGTTTGTGTGGCACCTACCACTATACAAAGCCCCACCATATCTTCAGATATCATTACAAGATCAATTATATTCTTTTAGGACTGGAACTAGAGAATATTGAAATACATTAGGACTTACAACTCTAGAATAAAACAAACCAGCATGTGAATGTTGAATGACTCTGCTACCTCCAGACTGGAGAAACAGAAGTGACATTGTAGTAAGCCACTTCTTTTCCTTGACTTGTGTTTCAAATCATAGCTTGATGGGAAAAGGTGACAGTTGCTTGATCGATGGCAATGCTAACACGAGCTCTGTTCTAGATAGATTTTTAGAAAAAGTCCATTATCTTGATACCAGAGTTTCCTCTTCTCCACAGCCTAGCAGGATTATCGAGCAAGAAGTCTAATCTTCAGAATTTGCGGTGCAATAGCAGAGGCACAAATGAACCTGCTATATATATATATAAAAAACCTAAATCTTATTATAACTGTAGCTGAAAAGTAGGCTGCAGAGAGATTACATTTTCAAACAGCAATTTCCTGAGAAGTATTTTAAACCAATTCAAGATTTTTTTTCCAAACTATGGAACAGAACAGACCCAACAACAAAAATTAGGTCAAATAGGTCATCTTGTGTGGCGATATAAATGACAGTTACTAGAAACAACGAGGAAAAGTTTCACATTTCAGTTCATCCTTACCGCCTCCTCACTCTTCCAACTCTTCCTACACACTTCCTTTGCTCTGCAAAAGGTTAATTTTTGGAAGACAAGACACAACCATGCTGTTATTTTACTGATTTTCTTTTTAAACTTCATAATTATTTATGAAGCTGATTAAATTATCTTCAGTGCTAGGCATTTCTGAAAATGTTGTCACATGACAACAGCCATGCAATTTGGCAAGAGCTTGTATGAAGAGCAGTATAAGCCTTCAGAGCTGTTGACAAGGAAAAAGGAAGTGACGGTTGGAAAGTATTTGGATTTACAAGCTCACTGTTACTCAAGGAACACCTTCGATTTGGCTGGACATTTACTTCAGAGGCATATATGCTTCTGTTTTTAAATACTTGTTGCCTATTATACAGTTGAAGCTACTGTTTGACAACAAGGAACCAAGAAATTGATTCAAGGTAGTTATGACACCTGACGTGACTGGAAAAGCTTAAGGTAACAGCCTTCCTTTATTTGATGGTTGAACCCCAGCCAGCACCTAAGCCCCCCCAGCCGCTCAGTCACTCCCCCCACAATGGGATGGGGGAGAGAAATGCAAGAGTAAAAGTGAGAAAACTCGTGAGTTGAGATAAAGACAGTTTAACAGGGAAAGCAAAAGCCACACATGCAAGCAAAGCAAACCAAGGCATTCACTCCCTACTTCCTACCAGCAGGTGGGTGCTCAGCCACCTCCAGGACAGCAGGGCTCCATCAAACGGAACGGTGACTTGGGAAGGCAAATGCCATCACTCCCAATGTCCCCTCTTCCTTCTTCTTCCCCCAGCTTTACGTGCTGAGCATGACACCATACGGTGTGGGATACCCCTGGGGTCAGTTGGGGTCAGCTGTCCTGGCCGTGTCCCCTCCCAGCTCCTTGTGCCCCCCCAGCCCCTCGCTAGTGGGGTGGGGTGAGAAGCAGAAAAGGCCTTGGC